TGCCAGCAGAACTGTGTCAGTTAGGGATGTGATTATTTTTTCACATTCCTAACAGGCAGCTATGCCAGCAAAATTTTTAAATGTAGACCTGGCCTAGGATTGTCATAGATCGAGCTAGCTAACACTTCAGGACTGGTCTAAATGTCGTTTTTGTATTGCTAGAACTGTCTGTTCAGAAGTAGATCTAGTTAAGGCAGTACAATGCCTTAGTGTGAAGACCGTTCTACTGGTATAAAGTGCTTATCAGTATAGCTTATTCTTTAAATGTACAGTAAACTTTGGTTTCTAAACCAAAGAGTTAGAATGGTACAAAATCTGTAGACCAGTTCCACATCACTAGTAATACCTATACTAGCCGCCAGGCTTTATCTCAACTAATTTAGCATATCGTAAAATACAACCTGCCTTTTTTTTGTCTTGACTGGCATTTTAGTCCACGTGTGGGTTAATCAAACTAGCTAACCCAATCCAGTGCTGCACCATTAAATCTTTGTCTAGATTAGGATTTAGAAGCTGCTTTGAATTTCAATGCTGCAGGCTACAAATGTGTTGTAAGTAAAGCACTAACACTAAGGGAGAATGCACGAAATTAAGGCACTTGATGAGTTAAATGCACCAATTAAGGCAGTATAACAAAAAGATAAGAACAAACAAACAAACAAGCATTGCTCAAGAGGAATGTGTGTGTGTGTGTGTGGGGGGGGGGGGGTTATATATACAGGCAGCCAGTGATTAAAACAGGAAACACTGCTGATAGTGAAGTGATACAGAAAGGTATTCTACTAATCTTGTTTTGAGAAGAGCTCCAGAAAGGATTTGGGTTTTTTTTGATCACCTGTATCTAAAAACTGCCTTTGTGCGTACAATACATCTTCTATTAAAGTCCATAGAGGGCCCCCGCCATGGGACTATAGGCAGCACTTGCCCCTGCAAGAGGAGTTTTTTTGACAGAGGCAGACATAAGAGGAGCATCTTCTTGGAGAAAGCTGTGAAAATTCACTCTGGGGAGGAAAATCTGGTTTTGCAGTTTATAGGGAATTTGTAAAGGTGGTTTCCCTGAACTCTAATCCTTGAAGTAGTGGACTGTGACTTTACGATCACACTCTTCTCGCATTCCATGCTCCCTAAACCAAGTGCAATGGACCCTCCTGAAAGTGCCACTGTTCGTCATTCACCTAACATTTTAAGCTAGCATCATATTACTTATAGTCTATTTTGTACAGCTGCTGCTAAGTTGGGAATCTCTTACTGGAAAAACTATGCACAATAGGACATGGCAGAGTTATTTTAACCAACAGCTCTCAGGGAATGGCAGAACATGTTCCACAGCAGACTCTCTTCTCTCTTTCTTCTCTGGGACTGGAGGTTTTGGAGCAGTAATAATGCTTATGCAGCTGCTCCTGAGGCCAATGCTATGCAGTTCTTCATACCCCATGCAGTAATGTATGGACAATAATAATTGTTAGTGAAACAGATGTTATACCTGCAGTAGTGCACAACATGGCAGTTATACTGGAATGCCCTGATGCAGCAAGGTGCTTAAATCCTACACTGTTCAAAGAATAATATTTAGGTATGGTGGGGTATTCTTCCTTATTTCTCCTTCCCTATTTAGGGTGGGAAGGTTACTCCTGGTTTCTTGGTTTAAATTTTTTGTGTGTTTTTTAAATGATTGGTAAGGGTACCTACAGTGTTAGGTAATTTCTCCATTTTATTTAGCTTAATAAGAAAAGGAGTAAGTTGTATATATTATTACTATTAATAACTTGCTTTCCATTTAAAACCTGATACTGATAAGTCATAGAATCATAGAGTATCAGGGTTGGAAGGGACCCCAGAAGGTCATCTAGTCCAACCCCCTGCTCGAAGCAGGACCAATTCCCAGTTAAATCATCCCAGCCAGGGCTTTGTCAAGCCTGACCTTAAAAACCTCTAAGGAAGGAGATTCTACCACCTCCCTAGGTAACGCATTCCAGTGTTTCACCACCCTCTTAGTGAAAAAGTTTTTCCTAATATCCAATCTAAACCTCCCCCACTGCAACTTGAGACCATTACTCCTCGTTCTGTCATCTGCTACCATTGAGAACAGTCTAGAGCCATCCTCTTTGGAACCCCCTTTCAGGTAGTTGAAAGCAGCTATCAAATCCTCCCTCATTCTTCTCTTCTGCAGGCTAAACAATCCCAGCTCCCTCAGCCTCTCCTCATAACTCATGTGTTCCAGACCCCTAATCATTTTTGTTGCCCTTCGCTGGACTCTCTCCAATTTATCCACATCCTTCTTGTAGTGTGGGGCCAAAAACTGGACACAGTACTCCAGATGAGGCCTCACCAATGTCGAATAGAGGGGAACGATCACGTCCCTCGATCTGCTCGCTATGCCCCTACTTATACATCCCAAAATGCCATTGGCCTTCTTGGCAACAAGGGCACACTGCTGACTCATATCCAGCTTCTCGTCCACTGTCACCCCTAGGTCCTTTTCCGCAGAACTGCTGCCTAGCCATTCGGTCCCTAGTCTGTAGCTGTGCATTGGGTTCTTCCATCCTAAGTGCAGGACCCTGCACTTATCCTTATTGAACCTCATCAGATTTCTTTTGGCCCAATCTCCAATTTGTCTAGGTCCTTCTGTATCCTATCCCTCCCCTCCAGCGTATCTACCACTCCTCCCAGTTTAGTATCATCCGCAAATTTGCTGAGAGTGCAATCCACACCATCCTCCAGATCATTTATGAAGATATTGAACAAAACCGGCCCCAGGACCGACCCTTGGGGCACTCCACTTGATACCGGCTGCCAACTAGACATGGAGCCATTGATCACTACCCGTTGAGCCCGACAATCTAGCCAGCTTTCTACCCACCTTATAGTGCATCATCCACCTTATTTGTAAATAATAATAATTAAAAAATTCCACCTTACATTTATCTGTGGTCCTTAGCCAGAAGAGTTTTCTGTGATTCGTGAGCTGGTTGGGAAATGCTTATTCTTCCCCACCCTACATGAAAAGCTGACAAAAATTAAAGTTTTGTTTTGTCAATTTTCTGTACTCTTGATGAAAATCCAAAGCCCAATAATTTTCATTTTTGAAGTCTCTAGATGAAATTCCCAATATTTGGCCAACGGAAATTGTTTTCTAAAAGATGAAGAGCCATTTTCAGTCCAGCATCTTTCAACAGCAATATTTTGACCAGCTCTCATCTTGAGGTGGATTGAACACCTCAGCAGCTGTATGCCACCCTCTAACTAGTAGTGGTTGTAGGCTCTGCACGCCCAGCTCCATCAAAGCAGCTAAGAGAGCTAAGCTGACCTTACCTTTTCTACACAGGAGAGAGCTGAGAGTTGCATTATTTTCCCCATTATTAATAATTCAGAAAAACTGAAAAGTAATACAGTTATCAGACCTGCATTTTCATTACTTGGATGAAGCATAGTACAGTGGGACAAGGGAGAAAAAGTTCAGAGCTTATGTAAAATCTTAACTCCAAACTTCCTCACTTTCCCTCCCCCCCCCTGTTTTTTAAAGAAACACTGAAAATCTCAATCTAAGTCTAATTTAAAAAAAATCCTCATGAGAATGTACAAAGCCACTAAGGGATTTGGATGGCCAATTAAAATGAATGAAAACTGTGTCCAAATCCCCTAGATGACTTTGAGAATCTCAGTCTAACAGCATGTTCACACACCTGTCTCAGAATTTTCTTGATTTATAATTTCTTTAAGTTTTTGTTTTTAAACCAAGTATTTATGATCATTGGTATGTAAAAATTTGCTGTAGATGGGTTAGTTTCTTAGAGATGTGGTATGAAGACTGTATGTGCTATTCAATTAAACACAATAAAATGTAGTATTCAAATCTAATACGTTTCTGACAGCATCTATAACCATCTTGAACCCAAGTGGTTTGGCAGATTGAGCTTAAAACCTCACAAAAGAGAGTAACCTCTTTGAATCTGAACATTGTGGCCCCACTTGGTGAACTTTATACAATCCTCCATAACCTGATGGTGTGGTAAATGCTCAAATAAAATCTGTAGGGAACAAACAGCCAGCCTTACCAAAATTAGGCCCATGCCGTATAGCTCATCAAGAAATCTTGAATAAAATTCATTTGAAATGTTTAGGCAAAGTTATAGCTTCCCCTTCATATAAAGTGAGTTACAATTTTTTCAGTCCCATGTCTCAGAAAACTTTGTCTGATCCCTCTTCCCCACACTGAAAAGGTAGTTGTTTCACTATCTTTCAAACTGCCTCACGTGTATTAAGGCTTTAATTTTAGATTCAAATTTATCTCCATTGCACAAAGACCACTGATATTTCTAATATTATATATCAGCTACCATCAAAGGCTGAACCATGAAACCAAGGTCACTGAAAATGCTGCAGAAACTAGTCCCTCATTATTTAAAGCTTCTGGAGCTTTTCTTTATCATGTGCCTGTCAATCTGAGTTTTATTGTGTTCTGCATTTAAACTAGAGAAGGTGTGGCTCTTATCTCTAGAGCTCCCTCCATCCTGTACTGGGAGGGGATTTGTTCTGGGCCTGACCGAAACCCACTGAGGTCAATGGAATGACTCCTAGTGATTCAGATCAGATTCTCTATTGGCTTCATCCTGCTATCTACTCAGCTCCCTCCACTCCCACTGAAGTAAAGGGGGTAAAGGGTATTTGCCACTTCTGGGTGGTTGCTGAGCACCTTGCAGGTTTAGGCCCCAGGGCAGTTCTCTCTGTCCTGCAGTAGGAGGTGTTCTCTCCTAACCTTTAGCGTGTATTGCGTTAGATGGAATGGAGAGTTCTGTCTGTCACACCCTGTACTGCTGCTGCTTTTATCTTCCTGTTTTGTTTTTGTGGCGATCCGTTTAGATCATATAAGAGATTAGAAGGCTGAATCTGCCAGCCCTCCTAACTCACTAGGGAACAGGCCTGAGAAACCCCTTGTTTAATCACTGCCAGAGCAGAGGAATTTACAGCCCCCACAGCAATAAGGTCCAAAGCTACAGCCATAAAAATAAAGGCTTTTTATTTGGTTTTTATATATACGGTTACAGAAACATCTGCATAACATTTCCAACAGCATGTGTAGCTCACCTGCCTCCCCCTCCTGTAATCAGGTGTGAATATGGGTCACCAAGATGGAAGAGTGCTTCTGTCCTTAGGTTCCAGGCTCCGCCTTTTCTGTGGGGAAACCCTACCCTCCTGTTTTTAAGGTGTCACCTTTTTGTAGGTAATGTGAAGGTGCTGAGTCATTGGCTGCGCAGTGGTTGCCATGGAGACGGTCTGTTCTAGTTTCCCATCGGAATTGAGCCTAAATTTTCTGGTAATCTGAGAGGGAAATAAACACACACAGCCCTTTATTTTGTTCTAGTTAGCATTTTTTTTTTTAATAATGTAAACCAACATCTGGGGCTAGAATAAGCTTGGCTCTTATTTCCTTAGCTGAAAGCTACTGGCCCAGCCCTTCTCATGTCTGACAGACTTCCACAGGCAAAATCTTAAGGACTGTTGCAATCCTCCCTTCCCTATGCCTTCAAATAGGTTGGTTTGTTACAGGAGCACCTGGAGAAACTGGGAATAATCACACTCTACCCTCCAATAAAGCAGAGAGCAGCTTTCTCCCCTAAGAGAAAGCACCACTGTCAGAGTGATGGCTGCCACTGTACTGCACAGCTGGGTCCTACACTGAGAACCGTGTACACTAAGAGGGATGCCTGAAGTATAGCTGACAAGATTTGCCACCTCTGGGTGGTTGCTGAGCACCTTGCAGGTTTTAGGCCCCAGGGCAGTTCTCTCTGTCCTGCAGTAGGACCGATGGAAAATAAAATATGCCAGTCATCAAACGGAAACAAACACACTAATAAACAGGCTGTGTGTCAGAGGTTACACATTCTTTAAAAGCATCTCCTGCTGCAGAATAGCAGCAGCCATTAGGGCTTTGGCCATTCTTACCTCATTTCCAGTTTGCTAAATTTCAAATACAAATCACTACCTCTGACGGAAAATGAATGCTCACATAAAGCAAAGCCAAATTCCATCTCTGATGATTATTAGCAGCAAGCTCCAATGTACTCTGTAACAAGCTGGACCTAAATTCTGCAGCATGTTTCCTGAATTCTGCAGCAGCCAGCTGGGGCAGACTGGAAATTATGAAGTAGCTTCATTTAAATGAAAACATTAGGCCTGTAATTAAGAGAGTTAATAATACAATCAGTACAGCAGCTCCTTAGGTTAGTTATTTTGACATCAGATTCACACACTGGCAGCTTTCAGTACATCCAAAAGTTTTGTGTTGACCATGATTAATTGCACTGAAGAAATTATCAGGGGGAAGCTGGATGTTTGGGCAGCTGAGGGGGAAGCAGTCTGGCCCAGCTCCTCAGAGATATTTAAAATCTTAAATTAGAAACCTAAATCCCTTGGAGGAGCTGGGCCTTTGGAATTAAACACATTATCTTCTGCTAAAATGATCAGCAGTGAAATAGTTAATATTGACACTTCACTCATCTCATTTGTAGTGGTGCCGCTGGTGTAATATGGGGTAAGCCACATCAGTGCAGAGCATATATATGGGGACCTGGCACTGCTGTAGCTACACTGCCACAAATATCCCTAGTAAAGACAGGCTTAGATCAGAGATTTAACCCATCGAGTTGAACAGGGCAGTTTACATTTCTCAGAGCTATTGTTTCAGAATGTAAGCAGATGCAGGAAGATGCACTGTATTGGTTTACATCTTCAAGGTACCGTAAAGGCTTCCTTCAAGTCAGTGAGCTACACCAGCATAAAACTGGTGGAAGAGAGTGGAGAATCAGGCCCATCGTTTTGAAAGCTTTGATCCTGGAGCACAATTCTGCAGCAAGAGGTGTAATATATGGAGCTGCAGCTATGGATTATATGGAACCTTGCATAGAAGTGATCATATGACCCCACATATAAGTGCACAGGACTGCCCTGAGTAATCAGCGGTGCCTGAAAGTATCTTGGCATAGACTCCACACGCTCAGCAGTTTGGCCCTTTGACTTATTTCAGTGCAGATTTTCTGCACGTCATCCACAAGATTTGTTTATGTTATTTGGCCCCCGTTGCTCCTTCTCATGGTGAACACAGTCCCAGAGATTAGCGGAAATGAAGTCTCAGGGACTGAGGGAGCTCAGTCTGATAGCTCTGCCAAGTGGTTACATTTAATGCGATCAACTAGTCAAATTTAAAAATTCATTACATGTGGTGCATTCAACTGAAAGGAAGAACGGAAAATGCAAAGGACAGTGTTACAGTCAAAAAGTTTCCCAATGGATCCACAATTTTGGACCATACTGTACAAAATACTTTCCAAAAGATATATATCTTAATGAGATGCTGTTGTCAGCTGTATATATTTATATCTACAGACTCCAAGATTTAGATCAAACTCTTTCTTGCTTTTAAAAACAAACAGCTTGAAAAACATTTGCCCTTCTTCTAATGGCTTTATTTACATTATCATCTCAGAGTGGTTCAGCATTAGAGACACCAAACATAACAGGAACATTTGTTATGATGGAGGCATTGGTTGTGACTCCAGAGTTAGGACTGTGTTGAGATCTGTAGTTAAAGCAGGATGTAATCCTGATATTTCTCTCCTTAAGGATTTAACAATGGGCCCCAATTTAACACACTCTCTTTACTGAGGACAGTGGAATTTTCCATAATTTTTAGAGTCAAATATTCAGGCTCTTTTGCAGAGGAAAGGTTTTTTAAATGATGCCTTTTGTAAATTTGACATTTGACTCTGCCAGTCTCACCATTTTTTATCCCCATCTAGCTAAAGAAGCACAGTCCCCTGAAGCTCCAAACTCCACCCATATGCACACTTTCAAAATACCTTGGACATATGCCACTTTTCAAAAGCGACTCTTTAAAACAAACAGTTATTGCCCTAATTTAAAAAAACCTTACTTATCTCTACCAAGAAAAGTTCAGCTCCATCAGAGAATGGAAGCAGCCAGTAGTAGAGGGGGCAGCTGCCTCTGCAGCAGAACTGTATGTTCCATGTTTCTGACAATGTGGGCTATAATTCCCTCCTGCTCTGTCCTAGTCCCTAGGATTAACAGGGGGCCATAGAAAAGGTGGACTTGGAGGGAGGGTAAGAATGACAATGTAAAAATATACACGTTCTCACAGACACAGAGTTTTCCATTGTGCTCCAAAGGCAGCTGCTCCCTTCAAGAGGATCCTGGTCTATAGATCTGAGGAAGTCTGTTGGCCTGGGAGTGAGCGGCTGAGGTTTAACAAGTGATAGGGATAATGTGTGCGGGGTAACATACAACATCCATGTTATCATAGGGGTGAGGTGAGCTGTGTTAGGCTGTAGGACTTCTTGCTGCCCATGAAATAGTTATGGACAGGGAGAAAGAAGAAAGAATGAGGCTTTCACAAAAACACTATCATACTGTTAAGACTGCTCAAATGCATTTCCCATCAACACAATTACTAAAAAACAAGACATTCACACAACTTGCATCCCTTAGCACACACTCACCCATGCACATACATGCGCGCACACACACACACACACACACAAAGTAACACATCAACACAGTGCAGCAACACAACAAACCCACTTTCAATTCCATCACAGAACCAATCACAATGTGAACCTCCAGTTCCTGACAGCCACTCATAAGCTGAAGTCCAACCTCCGCCATTTTCCTCTACAGCTAATACACTAGACTTTTCACCAGTACATGTATGTCTATAGGCAATTTATTGTAATCTGTCTGAGGCTGGGGTTTAGCTTGTGCATTTCAGTATGATTGTGAGGAAGTGGTTCTATGTTAGACTGAAAATGTATCTGTTATGGGGCTGTTTGGGCATTTTGATATCTGGGTGGGATGGCATACAGATTGAGGCTGGATGTGAATGCTGGATTAAGTGGTGATTGCCTTGATTTTTATTGCCTGAGCAACCTTAGCAACACAACTGCATTTCCTAACTAATGGAAACGAATGACAATTTGGTGGGGGAGATGATATAACACAGGTTGTACAGGCTGGGCACCACACTGCTTTATCATTCATAATGATCTGTACTTTTCATTGAGAAAACCTCAGTGCACTTTAATAAAGGCAGGAAGTGTTATCTCCAATTTATGGAAGCTGAAGTACAGAAAGGCTTTATGACTTGCCAAGTTCATAAGTCAGATCAGTGGGGCAGCAAGGACTAGACCATCCCTTTTTGATATTGCTAGCATACCGGTGTGTCCTGGGATGAATCAATTATGGGAAACATGAAGCTGCAACTGAAAATTCCTATTCATAGAATCATAGAATATCAGGGTTGGAAGGGACCTCAGGAGGTCATCTAGTCCAACCCCCTGCTCAAAGCAGGACCAATCCCCAACTAAATCAACTATTCTGTTCTAATCTCAAAACTAACTCAGTCTGGACCGGTTAGACCACATGCGATGTGCTTCTCTGCAATAGAAATGGCTGATCTTAATGATTAGTCAGATATCTAGAAAAAGAAAAGTGATGTACCTCAGCAAATACAAATGAACTGCACCATTTCCTGATAGCCTTACAAGGGCTTATGCCACATTTTGTCTTTCTACACACACTGTATATTGTGTAATTGCACAATGAAAGATTGCAATGTAAGCAACAAAATATGGTGCGAGAACCTTACTTTAAAATTTCCTGACTTTTGTGTTTAAGTTCTTAAACTTCCTTTAACATTAACAATATTTTTGAAGGGGTTCTTTTGTTTCAGTGTTTATGACATATTTTAAGATGTCAAGTAATCACCTCTATATTATGCATAAGAACATAAGAACGGCCATACTAGGTCAGACCAAAGGTCCATCTAGCCCAGTATCTTGTCTTCTGACAGTGTCCAATGCCAGGTGCTTCAGAGGGAATGCAAAATTGCTAATTCTCATGCATGTACTGCAGGTCTCATGATATTTGGGTTTTTTTTTTAAAGCTTCAACTGTTGAAATGATTTTATTTCCCAAGAATCTCAGCTTTTTCTTATTTTTTAGTAAGTTTCTAGTGCTCAGAGTGTAGCAAAAAGCTTGAAAATGTGAACCCTAAATACTTCAGCATTAGAAGACATAAAAAGAATACAAATTACAAATTTTTAAATCTCATGATTTCTAACACAAACTCACTATTTCAGGCCCTGACTCATGATCTTTGAATGCTTGGAGTTGGCAACACTGATATACTTCAAATCTAATCATCCCAATTCTGATCCCATTATCCAAATCCTAAAAAAATAAGAAGGAATCTTCTACAGACAGGGGAATGAATTGAATGATATAATCCTTTAGGTCTTTTCCAGCTCT